TTCGCAGTGTAAAATCTCTTTTTCATTGCACTTTTGTCGGCTACTTTTTCTGTGGCCYTGTTGTACTCTGAAGTTCTCTCTTACAACTCGTAAATTTTAACTGGAACATCCCTCCGGTGGGAATTCCCTGTGGGAAAGTGAGAGAGTTCAGAATTCAAGACGACAACTACTCACCACAACTCAAGTAAGTACAACTCCTACTTTTACTTTTTTCTGTCTCATTTATTTCACATTTAGTCAGTCATACACATAGTATTTTTGAGTGTATAAGACAATGTGTTAAAACACTGTTTCTATACAGGAAATACCATGTAGAGCTCAGTTATCATTTGTTAGCCATGTTCAGCCACGGTGCTCAGCCAYTGAGATAAATAATGTGATGTAATGTTTTACTCAAGGTTAAACACAAACATCAAAGTTACAACTGGCCCTTTGAGGGCCACTGTAATGGTCATTAGGCCCAAATGAGTTTGACATCCCTGGATTAGAGAATATGTGGTGTTGTCCTGGTAGATGCAAGGGAACAACTTTATCTCGGAGCTGTTGTAAAAATCTGTATTATTTGGGCCTAGCAAGACCCTTTTCCACAAAAGAGTACAGTTTGCTTCTTCACTGTTTTATACGTTTTATTAAATGGTGATTGTAAGTTTCCAGTGGGTGTGATGGAGTGGTCACCTTTTAAGCAAATTATACAAGTTTCCCCCCTGCTTGTATAATTTGCTCACCTGGAATGTGGAACAGGATAAGGGAGGTTTGGAACCAGAGTGAATGTTTACCTCACAACTTATTCAATGTTGCACATTTTGCACATGTTCACAGACTGTAAAAACCAAAAACGTTTAGTTTCAGGTTTTTTTTTCCATTCTACAGATTCCATTTTCTTTTCTCGTTATGCTCTATTTCATCCTCTTTCTTTTTTTTGGTCAATATTTAAATTTGAAGAGAATGTTGATTGGCTGAATGAGTGGCACACTTCAATGAAACTTCAGCGTCTCATCAACTGCTGAACACAGGTGTGCACATGTACAGTGCACACCTGAGCAACACTGTGGAGTGAAAACCTGGAAGTACCTGGAAAAAATCCACTAAAACATGAGGAGAACATGCAAACCCCACACAGAAAGACCCCAGGTCCGTACCGGGGATTAGGCATTCGTGTACATGGAACACCATGGATCAGCCGATACTTAGATAAGATATGTGGAAAAGATCGGCTTCTCTACCTCCACAAAGGTCTGAAAATCAGCCACTGTCCCCTTTTGCTCTGCTGTGAGCTCTATAAAACAAGTTTGTGTTGTTTCTACGGTATTGTTCAGTGATTTTTCGATGAAAGAGCATTGGAACATCAAAGATGTGTGTCCTTAAACACACGATAAGTGATCAGCCAAAAAAACTGCAATTGATGCACCCGTAGTGCAAACCACATTCTTTTTCCCCCTCTTAATAATTTACACTCAGTTCTTCATGATGACAAAGAAAAAACAGAATTTTATACAGTTTGTAACAAGATAACTGAAATATTCCATTTGCATGAAAAATCAAACCCTTTCCTGAGTAGAAACATCTTGGGTAATCTCAGTTRTTTTTGGATTTAATTCAACAAGCTTTGCACCCCTGTACTGATGAATTTCAGTCAATTCTTTTTTGTAAATCCACTCAAACTCTGTCAGGTTGTGGGTTTAATCACCGGACACCAATCTTCAAATCTCTCCAAAGACTTTGTCCAGTCTGACAAACAGGTTTTTCTAAAGTTTGCTTCATTGCTCATTCTAGTCTTCCAGTCTCTGATGCTTAAAATCAACCCTACAGCATGCTGCTGCCGCCACCATGCTTCACTGTGAGGGTGGTGGCAGATGATAAGGTGCCAGGTTTCCTCCAGATATAAATTTAGAATTGAGGCCAAACAGTTTAATCTGGGTTTCACCAGCGCAGAGGATCTTGTTCACCGTCACCCAAAAGTCCTTTAATTATGCTTTTGGGTGTTTTTCGTTAAGGAGAGGCTTCCATCTTACCACTCTGTCATAAAGCCCAGATCGATACTGTAGATTCCTGCAGTTCTGATCATCCTTTCGGAGCTCAGTCCCATCTCCACTCAGGATCTTTGAAGTTCAGTCAGAGGTACCGTTCCATTCAGGGTCACTTCTCTCACTGACCCTTCTCCTTTGATTGTCTCATTCAGGTTGAGTTATACCTCATGGGAAAGGCCTGTTTGTGCCAAACTTTGTCCATTTCAGAATCACAGAGGCTGCTGTACTCCTGGGAACCTTCAGCGCAGCAGAGATTTTTGGGTAGCCTTCGGACGTCCTGAGCTCCACAGGCAGTTCCTCCAACACTGTGAGCTAAGGAGGCCTTTTATACAGATGTGCATACATGTCCAAATTATGTCCAATCACTTGGATTTACAACAGATGAGCTTTAATCAAGGTGTAGAAATATCACAGCAGCAATCAGGATAAATGCGAGACATTTGGTTGCAAAAGGTCAGAATACTTCCTGTATGTAAATGTTTTTTTAAATACATCTTAAATATGTATGAAAGTCTGACTTCACTTTGCAGTTATTGTATGGTGAATGTAGATTAATGAGGAGAAAGGGGGAATATAAATGACTGTAGCATCAGGCTGCAGCATCAACAAAATAGGGTAAATGTTAGGGGGGTCTGAATATTTTCTAAAATCTCTGTGTCATGAGGTTTAGGTGAGCGTGTCTGTAGCTTCAGTCATAAATTCAAACTGGATAAGCTGAAAGGAAATAAGAATGCTCTCTGTGTTTYTACTGATGTCAGGTGAGAGACTCCACACAGACACATGGCTCCTCTTACTGGTCAGTACTGGTATTGATTACTAACTTCAATTCATCATGAAAATAAAAAGATGTCACACTCTGAGCACGTGTTGTGAATATCTCTCTACTACCACAACAAATGTTAGCTCAAAATTTGTAAAACTGGCTGGGTTATAGATATTTCTGTGGTCACCATTTTTAACTGAGTTGACTTCAAAAGTTAATGAGCAAGGTTAAATAAAATACAACATGTGGTTTGTGAGATGTTTTGCCAAGAGACACTCTTACACAGAAACACAAGTTGTCTTGCAAGATTTAATGACATTTTAGATATTATTACATAAATAGAGTATTTCATGTGTCACACATGTAATATATAAATGAATAAGAGTTAGAGAAACTTATAAATATGTCATTGTTGTCAGTGATCAAACGTTCTTTAATTTCAGCTCTCTCTTTTAAATGTATTGTGTAAATGATGTTGTGCGTTTGTTACAGGTCTTGTAAAAAATGAGACTACCTACCTCAACGAGATTATGTCTAAATAAAAGTAAATAAATAAATTATTCGGGAAATGAGATGATGGATTAAATAAAAATGAGTAGATTGATGCCACCCGACTGACATTAGACCAAACCATAAAATATATAAAACAGAAATGTGGTAGATACTGTAAGAAGTTAAAGGAAATCTGTTCAACTTTCTGATAGCTCATGAGAATTATATTTCTTCATATTTCCACAAGAGGGCCTCAGAGGATCTGCAGATAAAATGTACCCTGTTCAACAGAGAAAAATATTTTCTGAGGGGTCAGCTGAGGTATCTTAGTGAGGTTGCAGGATCAACTCCCAGCCTGAAGCCTTTCTGAGTCTGCGTGTTATGTCTGTGCATGGGTTTCTCTTGTTTCCTCCCACAAAGCAAAACCATAAGTTTGGTAAGTCTAAATTACTGAAAGTGAATGAATTTTGTGTCGTTTGTCTCCTTGTGTTCCTGTGATGATCTTGCGACTTGTCCAGGGTGTCCTCTGCCCCCCTTCCACAGTCACTGCTGGATATGGACACCAGCTTCCTGAGGAGGAGCAAGTAAAGAAGATGGATGGAATTAAAAGAAGACTGTACAGTTCAGAAATGCAGCTGAAAATCTCCTGGAGTAAACTCTTTCAAACGTCATTATTTGATACAGTGGGAACCTTTCTAAAAACATTAGTGACGTCATTGTTTATTCCAGTGATTCTCAAACTTATCATCTTCCTGCCCACAACATAACCGTTTCAGAAACTTGTGATTCCAGATATTACTGGTTTATGTTTGCAGCAACGATGGCCCCTGAAGTCCAAAAAGGTGCATTTCTCCTGTAGTGGGTTCAGGTTCGAGGCTGGTCTGTATTCACAGCAGACGCGAACTGCACCAGAGTTAATTTGGAAGCAGAACAAGACCACCTCAAAAATGAGTCTCGGTCCAGTTTGATGTGCACCAGGGTTTGCCTGAGTGCATTCACACCCGCATAAAAGGTCCGTTTAAGGCGAACCAAATGTGTCAGGTGTGAATACACCCTAAGGTGTGCAACAATCCCATCTTTAAAGCTGAACCTGTCCCATCGTTGACTTTTGTTTTGGTTGTCCCCAAACAATCCAACAAACCATTGTGCCCCATTTCCAGTAGTCTGCGCTAAACGGTATCCATACAGTCTGTTGACAAAGAGAAGAAGAGCTGACTCAAGAAGGGCAGCCCATTTCATTTGCATAGTGTTTGTATTTATT